CACACACACACACCCCTATACACACACAACATTCGCTCTCTGCTCCAAGGAACTCTCCAATCCCTTCTCCTCCCCTGCCGGTTACGAGCTTTTTCAACACTGTTGTCTTCGCCATCCTTCTGCTCACTGCGTCTCATGTCATTGGAATCTTTAAAATACACTCTCCTGTCTTCACTTGTCTTCTTATCGCAGTGAACTGTATAGCCCAGTCCTGTGTTATCACCTTCCCTTTCTCCATCCCCCGTCTTCTGATTCCAATGATTCATATCGCCACTGTCCTCCTCCTCCTCCTCCTCCTCATCATCATCATCATCATCATCATCGTTTTGAGGTGATTCCACTGATTCCAAGCATTCACTATCACCGTCATTATCGCCATCACCAGTCTTCTGATTCCAACGATTCATATCACCAGTATCGTCATCCAAATCATTAACATCATCATTATTCCAATCATCATCCACATTATCCTGATTATCCCCCCCTGAACTGTGAATATCCTCCCGTCTCTTCCTGAGATCGGAGTCATTCACTTTCAATACCTTATCATCACCTTCTTGAGGCTGATGGCACTGCCCTATCACACAGACCCATCGTAGCTCAGACCCACAGTTCATGCACCGCACGTTAAACTCCATTGGAATCCTGCCGCCGCTGTTTCTTCAAAATATCCTTAATCTGCCAGAGCTCCTGGCTTTTCTGAAGAATAGTTCCTGAGGACTCTTCCTTGTTTTCGCTGACTCTCACGATCGTTCTTGCAGCCGCCACTTCTAGGCTCTATCTTGAAAATGAGTAGATGAGGAGGGGGGTGTGATTAAGCCCTTCAGGGAAGACCACCTCCGAAAGTAACGGGCCAAGGAGAGTGTGTGAGGGGGGTGTGATAAGCCTGACAGAAAAGGAGAGAAGCCGGAGGGTGTGAAAGAAAAAAAGGAAAGAGGACCTGGGTTGGGGATGGGGCCCCATTGTGTTACCGCCTATTCAGCACTTGGGTTTTTCCATGCTGACCAAGGAAAGCGACTTTTTGCGGAAGGCCCGGAACTACACCCCCTCTGGACCTAGCTCGAGGGTGCTACAAAATGGGAGAACTCAGTGTGAGAAAGGAAAGATTCTTCTAGATCGGAAAAGCTCCAAAAACAAGGGTGTGAAAAATAAAACATGAAACGAAAGTAAAGCAGCTATCGATGAACCTGGGCGCTGGTATCTACTAGAGTATGAATCTCAATCTGCCCCAGTAGAGAGGGTCGGCAACGCACCAAATTTCCAGAAGTAAAAAAAGAAAAAGAAAAAAGAAAGGCCACACACTAGGGGCGATATACCGTCGCCAACTGTCTGCCCTATCTTTGAAAGGCAAGCTCTCGTCTTAGCTGTCCTACAGAAAAGGTAAGTGCGGAGAAGGTAAGTACGTGTGGCTAGTGTGGAAGCTCTTGTAACGGTCCAACTGTGACGTGAGAGGTGGGAGACGTCTCTAAACAGTGAACGGAGAACTCGTTGTTAGGTACAGTAGCTAAAGATACTCCCTTTGAGGCGCAGGAGAACACTCAAATCTTCGTGGTTGTTAGGTACAGTCTCCAAAGATTCTCCCATGCGAAATCTAGGGCTTGGAACTCCAGCCAACCACATCCAAGCCCAGATTATCGCTCACGCTTCCGGTCGGATTCACGCCCTTCTTCGCCCGTGAACGAAGAGGCAAAGTCTCCTGTTGATTTAGATCTCCCGGATTAGAAATCCAGGTGTCCTAGATCTATGAACTTCTACGGCCAGATAATATTCTCTTCGCTTTGTCTGGAACAGCAACACAAGGTCTTCTGATTGTGGCAGTGTTCAATATGAACAGATCGCCCGGACAAAAATTCCAGGTACAGTATGGCGAGATAGTAGACTCTCCACTAAGGCTTGAACAACAACATGAAGTCTTCTGAATGTGTTCGTGTTCATGCTTCAATACATCACATCCCAAGTTTTGTAGATCTATAAACTTCTACAGCCAGATAGTAGTCTCTCCACTTCGGCTGGAACAGCAACACGAGGTCTTGTGAATGTGTCCGTGTTCATGCTTCAATACACCCCTCCATCTCCAGCCCGAAAAGGTAGTAGGCCGTGTTCCATAAGAAGGGCGCTTCATGCCAGCGCTCTTCGACTCAGCTTGTTTGGCTCGTTCTTCATGTTCGACAATCCTTTCGTCATGACAACTCCTCTCACCCTACAACAACCAACCATTCGCCCCCATCCCAGGGACAAATTTTTCAACTGTTGCTCTACCTCAAGTTGAGGTTGACCGCTTAATGACACGCCTCCCCCGTGCTGCGCGCGCCGGGGTATGGCGCCTAAACTTCACGTCTGACGAAAACCCTAATCATTCTAACGCACGCGTCGCAAGGCTTGAGCGCTATGGCGCCGCCTCTCACTTCGTCCTCCGTGTTCCAGTTCCCTGGGCAAAATGAACAACTATTGCCTCAGGGTCACATCAAAATTCTTTACCAAATTTAGAATAAAAATAAAAATGAAATAATGCTTTACCTTTTTTTTTTTTTTTTACTCACATTTCGCTAGGTTGACCTTATACTTGTCTTGTCGCAAGAGTGAAAGTACAGTCTCAACGTGCTGTGCATGCTCTTTGACAGACTTACTAAAGATAAGAATATTGTCAAGGTACACGACGACAAACTTATCTAAGTAGTCATGGAAGATCCTATTCATGGCGTGCTGGAATGTACCCGGCGCATTGCAAACTCCAAAGGGCATCACTACAAACTCACACAGACCGTATCGGGTTTGAAAAACAGTCTTGTGCTGATCCTCAGGTCTTATAGCAATCTGATGGTAGCCGAATTTTAAGTCTATCTTGCTATAGTATTTACATCCCTGCACCCTATCCAGTAGGTCGTCTATGCGAGGTAGAGGCTCTGCGTTTTTCACTGTGATGGCAGTGAGGCCTCTGTAATCAATGCACATCCTCAATGTTCCCCCCTTCTTCGGTACAAACAACACTGGAAATCCGAAGGGGGAAGTACTCGGTCGTATCCATCCCTTTTTTGTCAGCTCTTTCAGTTGTCGCCGAAGTTCGTCCAACTCGACCGGAGCCATCCTATAGATCCTTCCCTTTGGGGTTTTACTCCCTGGAATGATTT